GAACTTTTGCAGCAGAGAGCCAGTATAGTCTGGGCACCCATCCAGGCCTGCTCTGCTGTGGTACCCATCTTCACATCTCTTTTATGAGTAGCAGGAGCTGATAAGAGGCCAATTATGGTCATTATTCCTGTCATAAGATGTAAAACTCAGCACAGATGGTATCTTATTCAACCTTAGCATGATGCAAACAAAAGAATTATTTTAACATGCTGTACAAAGTCAGGGGGATTTTCCACGCTCTTTCCCAGGAGTGCCAGAATGCTGATGATTTAGCTATCTTGGCATCTATCCTGGACTCACCAGCCAAACTAGACGATTTTCCTTGAGAACAATACATTTTGCAGATATTACTAAATCCTGTTTTTTCCCCAGCTTCATATGCAATTGCGTTAGTCAGAGCCCAGCGGATGGGAGAATCATTGCAGTGGATGCAGCTTGATAAGCTTTTCTTGAAGCCTGCAAAGTCATTCTCCTCCAGAATGGCTTTTATAGCTCTTCCATTTGAGCTGCTGTTTAAGATAACTCCATTCCCTTTGTGTCATCCTAGATATCTCTTCTAGATCCTAAAAACCTTTATGGAGTTCTAATCAAGAAACTGCAGCATCTCCATATGACAAAGAAGAGTAAGACTTTTCAGCCAGGGGTGTCTAGTAATCCGAAGCAAAGGCATTCCCTGAAATTAGTAGCAGTTTTTAAGAAACACTTTTGAGGGATCTGGTTTCAAAAAAGTCAAGCTGAAAGGAGATAACACTTTGTTGTTGTTGTTTTCTTGCATATGCATGGACAATGAACTTGTATTAGTTCAGCTTAGTGATCTGTATTCACATGAAGTGAGAAGATTTCTGCATGAAGTAAGGAGACTGTGATTTCTTGTGAGAAATACTCTGTTTTCAAAAGGTTCAGATGACTGTAGATGTCAATTAACACAGGGTAAGATAGAAGATAGAAGAATTGTACGGCAAACAGGTAGAATATATAGTCAGTCTTAAGAATACATATAGATTCTGATACAGACTTAGAAGGCAGCGAGAGCCTGGCACAGGTTGCCCTGAGAAGCTGTGGGTGCTCCATCCCTAGAGGTGCTCAAGGCCAGGTAGGATGGGGCCTTGGGCAGCCTAAGTTGGTGAATGCCACCCCTAGATTGGCACTAGATGGGCTTTAGGGTCATTTCCAACCCAAACCATTCTGTGATTCTATGATTCTGCCCTGCAAAGAAAATAATTTATTTAGAAAATGTATTGTTCTGTCAATGGTGGCGTTCTCAATTAGTTTCTGTTCTATGCAATATGGGCATTTCTTAAAGTTACTATAGTTACTTAACAGGCTGTTAAATAGTAAATGGTATCCAACTAAAAGAAATTTAAACTGTGAGTGGTCTAGATCACACAGTGAAGAACAGAAAAATTTCACTATTTTATAATTCAAGAGAAATGTTCAGCTGTTTGTGACTCTGAGCTTGTGAATATCTGTTATTAAAGATGATCATTTTAGTATTTTTATTTGGAAGTAATTGAAAACAACTAAATCTCACTATTTTTTCTATTTTTTGTCTTTCTTTTTTAATTATTATTATTTTAAAAATTGTTTTTAAGAAGGACTCAATACTTCAGGTGAGCTCCACATTCTACTGCTTCTAAAGAACTCCTGACATCTCAAAAGTATTCAAAAATGAACAACTGCAGTACTGAATATGTGTTTATATAAATGAGCACATTATTAGCATTAATCCAATAAATGATATGTTTCAATGGCTAGAGGAAACAGCACCAGCTTTTGATGGATCACATTATACACACAAATGCCTATACTATACTGAACTTAAGTTACTGAAATAATCATTTGTGAAAACCTTGTCTAGCACTGCCTCCCTCTGACTTCCTCTACTTCACAGTTAGTAAATAAGAAGTAATGTTGCTGTTCATGCTTCCAAATTCCAACAATGTGTTCAAGATCATATACATTTTTAAAGAAGCAAAGGGAAGTATGATCTACTTTGGATAGAGACAAAAGTATTTTTGTCAAAATATATAGGTAAAAATCTGAGAGCTTTAGGAGATGTGATTGAAAGAATGCTGGAAAACTTTAGTTGTTTTCCAGATTAGCTGTAAAGAAAGAACTCATGTCTTGGAATGATTGGAACAGTGTTTGAGAAGGAGAAGAAAATACTCTCAGAACCAATGATTTTAATGTTAATATTCAACTACTCTTTGTATTTGAATATTAACCCAATTCTGTATGTGAGTATTAACCCAATATCCACTAGAGTTGGCCTAGTCTGAAGTAGAGGAGACTGAGGAGCAACATCATTGCTCCCTGCATCTTCTTGAGGAGAGGAACTGGAGGGGGAGGTGCTGGTCTCTTCTCTCTAGGGACACAGCACATGGGAATGGCACAAAGCTATACCAGGGGAAGATTAGACAGGACATGAGGAAAAATTTCTTCTCTGTAAGGGTGGTCAGACATTGAAATAAACTTCCTAGAGAAGTGTCTGATGCATCACACCTGTCAGTGCTCAAGAGGCATTTGGACAATGTCCTCAGGAACATACTTTAACTTTAAAAAGTTAAAAAGTTAGCTCAGAAGGAAAATCACCTTTAGCCTACTATGGAAAATGAGAATTGAAGACCTACTAAGAACTTCAAGCTAATAAATGTGTGATCTTGGAATTGAGGGCTATAGAAATAGAATTATATTAACAGTAGTTCTATTTCAAGTGAGGTCATGATTTGCTAAAACTGATAATGCCTCAAGGGGTGATATGATGGTTTTCCTGAATTTGTTTCCCACAGCATTCTGCTGTGAGGGAAAACTTTCTGTGATACCATTGTCTTCTGCTCCACAAAACCTTGCAGAAAGCAAGAAGAGTCACACAGAACTTCAGCTAATAGATGCTCTTGGCATCTGTTTCTCATCCGACCATTCCAAAACCAAAGTTGACATAAGGGACTAAAAGCAATGGTAACCAAAATGAAGGAATGGCCCTTGACCTTGCTGACCCAATTCTATTCCAAAATGTTTATTTTTGCTTCATTTAAGAAACAACTATGTTTGAAAATTCACCTTTATTTTGTTACAACTGCTTTCTTGCTGGGAAGCTAAGCAGAACAAGCTTGTACATTTTCAACCCGCTGGCAGAATGGGCCTATTTTCCCTTGCCTCTGAAAAAATACAGGATGTGACTCTTCCATCTGCAAATGAATGGCAGAAGTAACGAGTGAGTTTAGTCAAGCTTAACAGTAAGGAAAATGAGAACTGCATCCTAAATGTCAGCACATTCCCTCTAGATTTTTAGTACTGCTTGGCAATTTAACAGCACTTTTTATTGGAGGACTCAAAAGGCCAGTCCTTAGTTCAATCTTATAATACCCTTTTAAGGTTGGTAAAATGCCCAGATAAGGGAACTCGAATACAGAAAAGTTAAATGATTTACTAACAGTCACACACAGTAGCAGCAACCAAAGGCACAAATGCCCAGACATGTGCTGTAAATATAACAAGCAATAAGCAAATTATGGACATTGTTAGTAGATCTCCATACTTACTCTTTCATAGAATTAACTATGCATCCTTTAAGCCTTAAATGCTCTATAAATCAAACTGAGTTAACACTTGTTTTAAAGAGACGTAGATTTCTAAAACAAATAATAGCATTCACTCAGAAAAGTGAATCATAACTCACAGACTGGCTAGGCTGTTTATTGGAATGAATAATCAACACAGCAAAAGAACTTCTAATGTATTTTCTAGTAATAGTTACCACTTCCATACCATACTACTATTCACTATATAATAGTGAACTCCCTAGTGAAATTGCAGCACCACAACTCTTTATGTTTCTTTCTGGAGGCTAGGAATTACTACATTTAGTTTTCATACAGGGAAGCTGATGTTCATTTGGAAACTAGAAAAGAACAGGGTTCAGTTCAAAACATTTTAAACTCTGAGTGCCTCAAGTGATGATACCAGAAAGAAAATGGAGTTAAAATGCTAACACATTTAAGAATCTTGTCATACAGGACTTTCATAAATAAATAAATAGATAAACAAACAAACAAATAAATAAATAAAATATATAAAATCTGGACTTGTGGAGTTCTGGACTTCTAAACCAATACACAACCAATGTGAAATCCCTCTTAGTATCATGTTCATAATTACTGAAAGAAAGAAAAGTGAACTAATGAAAAAAAAAAAAAAAAGCAAAAAAACAAACCCAAAGCATCAGCATTCATATGAATAGGTAAATCAGCAATAATTTAGTTACAGAACATATTCAGTTTTGTTGTTGTTGTTTTTCCTGTAGTACTGATATATATTATAAAAATATTTTTAGATTTGCAGGTGTCACAGATATGGTAAGAATTGTGACTCCCTTGCAGAACAGTATTAGAATTCAAAATGATCATATTTTACTGTACAAATAAACAGGGGAAAAAAAAAAAAGGGGATGTATCTCTATGAGAATAAATTTGAGAATCTGCAGTTAGACAAGAATAATTAACTGCATAATATTATAATTGTACTATGAAGGGCAACTCATTAGAAAGGCATTCTTCAGCAGTAATTTGGGGTTTGTAGTAGCTCAGAAGACAATGTCACGTTAAGAAGAAAAAGGCAAATATAGTACTTGGGTTCCTGTATAAATCAAATTTTAAAATATGGGAAGATAACCTTCAGTTTCATTTGGATTATGCTATATGAATTCTGTATAAAGTGACTCCTGCATCTCAAACAGAAAGTTGCTGCTGCAAACAAAGGCAAAATTATTTTCTATCTGTGACTAGTAAGCCTAAAGTACAGTACAAAAGACTCAGGATGAGCATCAGGAGGAGCTTTGCAACAAGAAAGTAGACCAGTGAAGTGATAAGAATCTACAGTATCTCCAGCAATGGCTAAACATACATCTGACAAGACAAAATGGCTAGGTGGTTCTGTTCTACTGAAATAACAGTTACATTTCTTTAATATTTTGAATAAAAATATGCAGGATTTTCTGACAGGGCGAAATGATGCTTGGTCACATCACTTGATCCAGTTCTTCAATCAGGAAATGAGGGATAATTTACCTGACTCAAATGCACAATTCACAATCCAAGTAACTACTGGAGTACCAACAAGCCATGAGGAATCTGAAGCAGACATTACCATCAGAAGGGCTGTATGCTGCAGTTGTGGAAGTTCCAAGGAAGAACTGTGAGGATGAGTTTAAACTTGATCAAGGTGACACTTTGTTTTTCTTATAGCTAACAAGGGTGATAAGGAGAAAACAATAACCTAGAGCCGTCTCATATGCAAGTAGATCACACATCATAAGTTCTGTTGGTAGAATTGCTAAAATACTGAGTCGAGATGTTTTAATGTAAATAATGCTTGGCTTTAATCACGTATATGATACACAAAAGATATTTCGATCAGAAAAAGCTGGATACATGGTGTACAGCCAAACTTACTTTCCTTCAAAACTATTTTTGCTTTGCTGCCGCTTAAAATTTAAGCTGACAGAGGTCTTTACACTGAGGGTTTAAACTAAGGTGAGATTTCAAAAATTCTTCCAGCTATTCCTCATCCTCTTGATAGCTTACAGGACTTAATGTCCGTACTGAAGTAAACAAATGTCAGCTGATCCTGACACCAATTACCCAGAACTATAGGAGCTTTCTGGAAAGACATCCTCAACTACAAAAAAAAAAAACTTTTTTGAAGATTCAAATTATGTTTGCTACTTCAGAACAGCTTTTTATATATCTCTACTCGCATGGACAAGAGAATAGCAGTGAGAGGTGAAGAAGAGAGAAAGAGAACAGGAGTGGAGAAAGAGAGAAAAGGAAAGAGCAAAGAACACTCCTAATCCCAGTACTGCATCTTTGTTTTCAGGGGACTTTGTGTTTTGTGTAATTGGCCTAAGAGAGTCCAGTAAACTGTAATCACATTGAAAAAAAAGCACTGTCACATAATTGTAGTTAATATTAATTCAATAATTTTTTGTCATTGTTAATGAGGTAAGAATTTAGACACCAAAGTTTTAGATGCTTATTTGAATTTTATCTTATTAAAGAACTTGAAATAAAAATATCTTTTTGTTAGACTTGTGTAGCACTTGCCATCTTAAAGAAGAGAAGATAGTCCTCTGCATTTTTCACAGATTTCCTAAGCTAATTCTTGCTAAAATCATACTGTAGCCTGAGGGCTTATAGAATTAGGTACTTAACAGTGTAACACATAGAAACTTGGGTCCCATATGTATGCTGAATGAACCAAGGCCAGTGTGTACGTCCTCCATTGTGCAAAACTGAATGTGTAGTTAAATTAAGAACAATAGGTATTCATAAATCAGCATGAGTGCCCATGAGAAACAAGTCTTCTAATTAAATAAGAAGAGAATCAGTGTTTCTTGTTCCAGGAATTGTTGTTTGGTATTGAAGGAGAATATATTGATAGTAGAAAGACAGAATTTGTTAGAAAAATTATTGAGTTTATTTACCAAAAACAACTCCTTTCCTACACATTATTTATTTTCAGTTACAAAAATAACTAATTTTTAAGAAAATCAAGTGTTGTTTTTTTTTTTAATCCTTTATTGCTTCTACTGAGAAATAAAACTTTGTAATTAGAAAAAAAAAAAATAGAAGTAGTACTTGCAAGGAAATTGTGTTTTATTTTACTTTGCTTTTAAACCAGAAAGAAAGCAAAAAAGAAGTAAAGAAAGAAAAACATTAGTGTTTGTCAATTGAGAGGAAATTCTTGGAGCAAATTCTGTAACAATTTGAAAAAGTATTGGATATTTTATTGTCTTGACAATCCTTTGGAATTTGAGTGGTACTATTCAAAGTATTAATTACTAAGAGACTAAATGTGGTTTCAGGTCGACTTTATAATTTCCTGATCCTAATGCTTGATATCTACAGTCTGATAAATGCAGCGAGTTATAGGTTTTCCCATTATCTCATCAGGAGATAGAAAACAGTGCATTAAAATTTTCTAACTCAAGTCCTATTCTTTGTACTCTTCACAGAATCACAGGATGGCCAGGGTTGGAAGGGACCTCAAGGATCATGGATCTCCAACCCCGCTGCCACATGCAGGGCCACCAACCTCCATGTTTAATGCTGAACCAGGCTGCCCAGGGCCCCATCCAACCTGGCCTTGAACACCTCCAAGGACGGGGCATCCACAACCTCTCTGGGCAGCCCGTTCCAGTACCTCACCACTCTCTGGGTAAAGAATTTCCCCCTGATGTCCAACCTAAATCTCCCCTCCCTCAACTTAAAACCATTTCCCCTCATCCTACAACAACAATTTCCTACCTCATCCTTCATCCTCTCTTCAAGTACAAAGAAAAGCCTGAGTAGGCTATGCTTGGCAATAAAGTCAAGAATATGCACATTTCAAATGATTGGGACAGTAAACAACAGATTTGCTTTAACCCCTTCAAAAATTAAATACAAATTCTAAAGAAACTCAGAAATGTGTCTACAAGTTAAACAAATTAGCAGTTATAGAAATACTTAATTTTTAGTAGGCCAGATTGATGTAAGGAATCACATTGATCACAGATTGAAGGAAGAAACTACGTATTTCCTGTACAAAAAGTGAGTAGAGATTAGATCATCCACCCAGGATTGGGATTCTCACAATCACTCTGAGTTTTCCTTTGAAGGCACACTAATTTGTTGTGTAGACACATTTACATAGAATAGAGCTAGCTTTAAAATTATGTGTCTTAATCTTTATTTGAAGTGCTTGGAAAAGCGAATACAGTTAAGTTGTAGCCAGTTTTCTTCAGTATCCCTCAACATACCAACTCAAAGTACAGAAATTCCACAGAGGCCTCAAATTGGATGAAGTTTAAACTGGATTTTGAAATTGTCTTTTGCAGTATTTCCATGTAAATGAACATTAAGCTGTCAGTGTATTTTTTCTTGTCTAACCAAGAAAGCACACCATACAAACTGAAATACAGAATTTATTTGCATAATATGTTTGAAAGTTTCTGCGTCTTCACAAAGGATAATTTGAACACACTTTATCATGTGTGGAATTTTAAGTCTAAAGACACCTTTCTGCTCTTTATTTTCCGTGTTTAAGTGAGTTTTGGATCAGATTTTTTTCTACCGAAGTAAACCAGCTTCTAGAAATACATTTGCCATGTGAATTAGAGCCCAAAAGACATTGATTTGTTGATGTTTTATATTAGAGTTCACAACGGAAGTATTTGAATGGTCTGGGTTGAAAGAGCTCAAAGAAACAACGTTTTTCAATGTTTTGGGTTCCCATTGCTGTCCTGTAGCGAAGCTTTCTATGCCCCACTAGACACATTGCATCCTTGTTTTTTGTCTACTTAGTATTTCAACTTCTTTTTTGAGGAACTTGGGAATGAAACCATTACTTGCATTTTATCAAACCTACCATTCAATTAAAAATAATTAATCATTATTATAATCATTAATTAACAACTCCCCCCACTCTTGTGATTGTTGCTTGTCCAGGACATTCCCCCTTGAACTTCCAGTAACCAGAGGATAGTAATAGACAACACAGTAGTGACCACTGAGGGCATTCTTGACATTTGAAATCTTTGATTATCAGACTGATAACTATATTATTTTCTGTGCTTGCAGCTTTTTCTGCAGAATGAACTCATAGCCCATGTGTGAGAATTAATGGAACAATTCATATAGCATTTTGACATCATGTCACAAAGGACACAATATTGTCACTGCCATTGTACCCAACTCCAAACACAGGATGTTGGTCTCCTGAGAGTGCAGCACCAGTGAACAACATTTAGAAGGCAGAGAAAAGACTAAAGAAACTGAATTTAACACACACACACAAAAAAAATCAACAACAAAAGTCCACCCAAGCAAGCATTGCTAAACTGAAAAAGATTAGGACGACATGACTACTTTTTCCCCCAATTGTTAAATGTAAACTAAGTTAATGGTCAAAAAGTCATGGAGGACGAGAGAGGGAAGTTGTGGATGATTGCTGCATTCTTTGTTACGTCCCCTCTCCATCCTGGTGAGCTGGAACATCAGTGCAGTTCTCATGCCAGTTTCCGAGTAAACAACACGTACTTCCTGACTATCTCTAATCTGGGCAGCAATGTGTGTGAAGGGAGAGTGCTAAGTGATCTGTGGTTTTGACCAGGTATCCTGTTTTGACAAGGGTGTTTGTCCTTTACCCAACATACTGCAGATGTTATTCTTCAGATTTCTGTGTTCTGGGTTGTTGTTTTTTGGGTAACGCTTAATTAGGTCTTTTGGGAAAGATTTAATTTGGATTACTGAGAAGTTTATAGGGCCAGAGGTAACAATTAAAAAATAACCAAAAAAGTTGTGCTGATTAAAATCTTGTTTTTTCTTTCCACTCAATATTTTAAATTGCAGTTAACTGAAAGAAAATGTTTCCTCTAATTGATATTTTGACCATAAGCCGTTTGACGAAATGCGGTTCAAAATCAAGTTTTAAATTTGCCTCTAAAAGTTTTTGAGAAGCTCACTGAATTGCTTTAGCAGCTAGCATAAATTTCCATTGCATAAGCAGAGCTGCTCAGAATTTTTTTCAACAAAACTCTTCTATTTTGGAAAAAACAAACCATTAAGCATGCCCTCTGCCCTTCCTGCTATGGTAAAAAATGTTTCCAGGAAAGCTTTTAGTGGTAACGGCTCACAATTTTAGAATAAAATTCTGAAACCAAATTTAAAAGTGAACAATATAAAGATTCACGTAATTAATTACCTGATACTTAGATGAGATATGGTCAAGGATCATGTTTTAAAGAACCTCCTGTCTCCTAAGTGAGTAGTCTACTCTTTGGGCTAAAGAGATCTCTTTAACATGTCCCAGTGAGTCTTTAATGACACTGAGCAGAGGAATGCCCACAAGAGAGAGTTTTAAATGTGGACTTACTCCAATTATCAGAGATTATGTCACCCAGCTGCCATGCACAAGATTTGTTCCTCTTCTGTCTAATGTAGAGCAAAGACTTGAACGTGCATTTCGCATATCAATCAGCTGCCTGCATGCTGACTTCTTCTCCATAGGAAAAAGGAAAAATCCCGTGGTCCTCATGTGAAATATTCATGAAATCAGATTTGTATTTCCAAGATTATAACCACTCCAGCTGTGACCCCAGTCCTATACCAATGAAAAGCAAAGGCTGGACCGTTACTGACTTCTTTGTCAGAGGAACCATGGCCTGTGTTCCCCAGAAAGCTAACCATTTGTTATTTATGAACTTCAATTTTCTAACTTTAATTCATCACAGATATAGATTTTGCTAATAGTAAATAGTACTGCCATTATGTCATAGAAAGAGGAGATCACAAGAAAGGTTACTTGTGTTAGAGGCATTTGAAGGATGCCTCAGGCAAGCCCTGAGATGAGGGATATTTAGGAAGCTAACAATTCTGGATCATCTACTCTGCATCCAGGAGATACAGTTTAATCTTTCTCAATCCAGCTTTCTTCATTTACTATGTTTGCTGAAAAAAAAGTATCAATTTGAAATGTGAGAACTTTCAGTCAGCTGCAGAACTTGTTGAAAATGTTCGATGTGCAGAAAAAATTAATTTGTTAAAACTATCCTGTTAAAAAACATCTAGAATTTTCTAAGAACCCCATGACACTGTGTTAAAGAATTTATTTTTTTTAAAGACAAGTTGTTCCTCTGAATGTTTCAGAATTGTCAAGCATCTCTATTGCAGTCAGGAAAACTGAAGCAATACATTTCCTTTAAATTCCATGTGATCACACAAGACTGAGATAGATATGAACTTGTCCATTATTCCACAACTTTGGAGTTTTGTCTGATAATTTCCCCTGCATTTAAAATCCCAGAAATTCAATGATCTCTGAAAACTATAGAAATGTTAGAAATCTGATTTGAGGTGCTAGGTTTGTAATTTATATATATATATACATATATATATATACATATGTAGGTTGTCCTGAAAGCAATGCATATTTCCATGGAAACTACAACAGATATGACAAGCACACTAATTCTGCACAGTAGAACAAATACTCAGCTACAAAACACTATTTTTCAACACAGTCACCACCGCTGAATATGCATTTTCACCAGCAGTGAACAAGAGCCTGCGTGCCATGTTCACAATAACCTGCACCAATGGAGACAATCTGCTGTCACTGCCACCACTGCTGAAACACAGCACCCACCACTTGATTGTGCTCACATCCACTGTTTGCTCCTCATGAACATTCAGCAAGCACAGAAGAAAGTCAAGGGGTGCTATTTTTTCTATATGGAGGAATTCAATTCCACACCTTTTCTTCAGATGGACTTCTATGTCAGGTAGCATTTCGTCGGACTGCTCCTCTGCTGCCATCTGTGGCATGGCAGCAAAATGTAACAGGATATTGGTGGGAAGGTTCAGACTCTACTGCCATACTGCCAACATCCACCTCTGATGTCATGGGCCAACATGATAAAATAGGAGGCATTTCTTTCAGAGCAACCTATATTCAGTCTATCTACCATTTTGAAAATCAAATGCCCATAGTATATCTATTTTGTATCAGTTCATTTTGTTATTGGAATAAAGGTAATCCACAGGTATCAATCCTCATTATCTGATGAAAAACAAGACTTTTCATGGAGGAATACACGCTAAATATATGGACTGACAGTGCTCAAATAAGGATCACTGAAGGGAACTAGTTAAAAAGATTTACTTAGAAATTATCCAGTATGAACTGAATATATTAGAAATAATGAATCATTACAAGCTGATGCCCTAGAATTCTAAATCCTCATTTTAGTTAAATATATCGGAGCTGCACAGGAATGATCTTGGAGGGTAATGAAAAGCAAAATAATGACAGATTAGCCAGTTCACTAACTTCACTGATTAAAATCTTTCTCAATAATGAGCAAGCCAAATTAAATGGAGGCACGAGGTAAAAATATAAAATATACTTTCCTCTTGAAGTTTTAAGTACTTCAGCCAATTTGCGAATACATTTCAGATCCAAAGACCAGAAATCTAACTCAATGTCCCTCCCTACATTTCACTC